TATCTTCATCTGTGTCCTTACTAGATGAATTTCCTAGGTTTCTGTTTCTTCCTACCCCCATCCTAGAAAAGAAGGGAGGTCTGATTCTTAGGTTCTTATTTATCTTGGGGGTTTCTCTTGAAGATAGCTGGTGAGTATGGAGGGGCAGTGTCTACATGTACAGAGTATGCAACTCATGGGCTCTCTAAGTGAGACACCACAGCTACAGATACAAACAAACCTCTGTAAGGGTTGCACCTTGGACATCAGAATAAAAAGAATCCAGATCCCTTCATTTCAGCACATTTCCTTCTGTTGGCTAATTCAAGCTCAGAATTTAGGAGGGAATCCAAAGTTAAATGCAGATCTTGTCCATGTGGACATTTGGTCAACCCTGAGCCATCAGTAGAAAACTGTCAAGTCATGCCTTTGTGTCACCCAACCTGCTTTCTACCTCCCCAGTTCTTAAAAGAGGGCTGAGTTAAACAGGAGGCTGTGGACCAACAGCCCATAAATATGAAATCCTACCCTTTAGCCTTCTCCCTGGAAGCTGCTTTCTGAACCTAATGATTCCCAATAGGGAGTCCCAGAAGCTCACCAGCTGTGGACCCAGATCTACTCAGGGAGCCTGCAGAACTAGAAGAAATGCATTACCATGTTAATGATGTCCTATTTAAATTCTATCCCTGATTACTCTGTGATGAAATCTCTTCCCTCCACATTGGTTTCTTTATATCTGAGTTCCAGTGTGAAATCAACAATATTAATAAAGTACAATACAGATTATCAAGTTATACACAGGAGATGGAGAAACAGCTGTATAAATCTTAAAGTTCTTTTTTTTAACTAAAATCAGTTACTAATTTTTTACATCCCACCTTCCCTTATTAAAAAATTGAATGCATATTAATGAAAGGCTGGTAGTTAATTTCTGTTAAGTATTCCAGGGATGCAGGAGACGTTTGGCTTTTCATTTTACTCCACTATATTCAACATTCCTCAGAATTTAAATGTGTGACTTGCAGTCTCAGAACTTAAAGTCTTTCTTCTTCTCTTCACAGGAGTGTATTACCATAACAGAAACCTATGGATTCAAAGTAAGTGGCCATGTCTGCCTCCCTTTGCCCTTGAGATTGCCATGTTTCTGTCCCCTTCCCATCACCACAATCTGAACAGCTAAACCAAGGCTAAGGATGCAGCTTGGCTGGTAGAGTGATTTCTTGGCATGTGCAAAGTCCTGGGTTCAATTATAGCACAGCACAAACTAGTTATTAGGTACTGCCCACCTCTAATTCCAATCCTGAAGAAGTAGATGCAGGAGGATCAGGTGTTCAAGGTCATCCTCAACTACACATCAGGTTGAAGGCTAGTCTGAGCTACAAAAGACCCTGTCTCAAAAAATAAAGCAAGACAATAAATATCCAAACAAGACCAGGCCATCATCACCCAGGAAAGCATCACCCTCGTCACTGCTTTCATTATGCTGGAAAGGGGATCCAAGGTCTTCACCCACAGTCCAAAATGAGAAAGAACACCTTACCCCCACTATCTAGCTAGCCCCTGCAAGTGAACAAAGACTTGGGGCATAAGGCCACCATGCTGGGTCCCAAGATAATCCTGTAAGACTTACAGGCCATGTTCTGTTCTCAATGAATTCACCAGGGAGAGAAGACACAATGACATCTCCATGGTGAGGCAGGCCAGTCCATTCCTGATGGACACCAGAGGCCTATCACTAAGAGCTCTCTGTGTGAGCAACACTGCTGATTGGTCCTTGGACCAGAAATGTTTGCCTTTTTCTACAGAAACAGAACCTTAGACCTTCACAGGGCACACAACTGCCCAGGGTAAGGACAGTTCTTCTCATCACCCATGCAGTTGACTTCCATCACATACCAAGGTCAAGTTCACAACAGTGTGGCAGTAGGAAGGCATGTGCAGATTCCTACAGGAAGCTGTGACAGGGACAACTATGTTCTGTCTTTGTGTCTCCTGGCTGGATCTGGCATCTACATGTGTGTCATATAATAAGGGGCTCAGAAGAATAAAACAAGAGAATTCAAGTCTCTGAACTTAAGAGCTGCCCATCCATTCCAGTACTGCTTTCTCCAACCCTTGAAACCATTGTTGGAAATAATATATATTTTTAATGCTTTATATTGGGGTAGAGAGATAGCCTTCCAAGCACAAGGACCTGAGTTCAATTCCCAGTGCCCACATTAAAAGGTGGGTGTAGAGACGCACAGTGGTAATCCCAGGCCTGTGGAGGCAGAAGCAGGATGACCCCTGGGGCTTTTTGATCAGTCTGACCAAACTGGTAAGTTCCAGGTTAGGGAAAAACCTCAAAATAAAACAAAGTAGAAAGTGTAAGAAGTGACAGCCAAGGTTGGCCTCTGACCTCCACTCACATGTATATGCATACCCGACATACACACAAATGAACACAATGCTATATACTGTTCATTTCTGTTTTATCTTAAGATGTTTCATCTATGGGCTGCATAGCAATTAAAAACATGTACTCCTCTTGCAAAGGCCCTGAATTCAGTTCTCAACACTCATATCTGAGGGTTCACAAACTGCCTGTATCTTCAGCTCCAGGGGATCCAAAGCCCTCTTCTGATTTCCAAGGGCACTGCACTCACCATAGGTACAACCCTCTCCCCCAATACACACACATAACTTTTTTTTTTAATTTTAAGACCTAAGAAACAGGAATTTTATTGAAGACTAAAGAAAGTTATGGTACTATACAGATACAGATTCTCCTGCTCTTTCTTGCTTGAGCTACATTTGAACTTGAACACTGGGTCCCCTCTGACTTTCTGATTCTCAAGGTTCAAAAGCAGCTGAACCCAGACTATGATCTGGTTCTATTGCATTCCAATAGGTGAATTTATTTTCTTTTCAAGGATTTATGCTAGGCCTGGCTATGTATATATGTGTACATGTGAGCACAGTCCTTATAGATGTCAGAAGATGGTGATAGCCAAGGTTGGCCTCACATCCCTGGGAGCTACACCGTATGAGAGCTGAGGACCAAACTTAACCATAAACCATCTCTCCGGTCTCGGAGACTCATTGTCTATATCTTTGCTACCCACATCCTTACCAACACTGGATTGTTAATTTGGGTGACCCAAATCCACATCTCCTCAGACTGGTTGGAAACGAGCTTCAGCCTCAAGCACATGCGAGAAAACACCCAGGGAGAGGGTGGCTGACCCAGCATAATCCTAGCATGAAGCACACGGATCCCCACCCAAGCCATCTGCAGCTTAGAGACGTCCCGTGCAACAGCCCCCCCACTTGTTTATGTTTTATTCATCATCTCGAGAGTATTTAGTGAAGTAACAATGATGAGATTCAGAAGTACTGCACAGAGCTTTTTTTAAAAAGATATTAATGGTTTCAAGAGCTCACTCACTATTCAGATGAAAATATCGTTGGGTTAGATTTGCTCAAATCTGTTTACATCTTCTTCACTCTTAGATCGAATCCATCCCCCGTCTTGTATAAAAGCTGAGTGATAACACTATGAAACATTTCATTTTTCCTTATTCATAGATTTTAAAAAAATCAACAGCAAAAGCCTGCTGGAGATCCAACCAGCTTGACTCTCACAGTGAAGTATGCCGCTTACAGGGCCTGGGGGCTGCAGCCCCCCCCCCAGTGAAGTATGCCGCTTACAGGGCCTGGGGGCTGCAGCCCCCCCCAGTGAAGTATGCCACTTACAGGGCCTGGGGGCTGCAGCTCCCCCCCCCAGTGAAGTAGGCCGCTTACAGGGCCTGGGGGCTGCAGCCCCCCCCCACTGTGCTCATGGACGGTTCACACGCAGCCATGGGCTGCCTATTTGGCAAAATAAACAAACAAATAAACAGAATGTTTGGCCGTTAAGAGTGAAGGGAGGACTGGGATGTGTGAGACGGCTCAGCGGGCGGAGGCCTGTGCAAGCTCGGTGAACCCATGCCACGGTGGAGAAAGAGAACTAACTCCTGAAATTTGCTCTCTGGCCTCTGTGTGAGCGGTGCACAATAATAATCAAGTTTTAAAACTTTTCAAAGAAATAAAAAGGGGAGGGGCAGAGAGATGACCCAGTGGTTAAGAACGCTGACTGCTCTTGAAGAGGACCTGAGTTCTCCTTCCAGCACACACATGGTAACTCTAACACCAGCTCCAGGGGACCTGACACCCTCTTCTGGCCTCCATAGGCACTGCATTAACACGCTCAAACCCCGCCACCCAAACATACTTCAAAATAAAAACTAAGTATTTTTTAAAAGAGTAAAAGGAAATGGTGCTCGGCTCTGAACTGTTGAGCCAGCTGAGGCTTCACTGGCAAGAGACACCATGACCACTGGCCATCTCTTTGATTCAAACATGGGGAGAAACCATACCTCACACAATTTACTAGAACTTTAAAACCTAGTTTGCTCATCCCAAAATGACATGCTTAACCTCTGCCAGATGGAGTGACATTTCCTTGTTTGGACTTGGAACATTAATCTTCCCTGACATCAATTATGGAACATCCAGGTGGTACCAGTTCTTAAGTGGACTTAAGTGGACCACAGGGCATATTGTGCTAGTCTTCTGGCATGCCAGGACCTGGGTACAGGACACCAATGGCCTCTGTCCTACCTCCTGGGGAGGGAATCAAACCTCAGAGCATAGCCCAATAGAAGAGTCGCTCCCTCAGCATCAGCCTGTGGCCTGCATCCTTGAAGACTGGACCAGGGGAGGCACCTTCAACTCAGGCTGTGTACCCAGGGAGGACGCTCCACAGCCAACCGCGTGTACCAGCAAAAGCGGAGCAGAAAGTGGGAAAGTTCAGAGAAAGGGAAATTGTCCCATTTGAAGAGCAAAGCAAATGCTGATAGGTGACCCTACTCCATTGCCCAAGGCTCTTGCCAACAATGTCCCCCATGGACTGGCTAGGTGCAGTGAGGTGATCTGACCACACAGTCTAATAACATCATCATCACTAACTTGTACCAAGGCTGTGGCTGCGGGCTACTCACTGTGGGCGGCTTCCTGGAGTGCCAGGTCCTGTCTGCACCTGATGTAGTCCTCTTTGACACTGCCCAGCCTGCTGACACTCCTGGAGCTGAGTGTCAGCAGCCTGCCCAAGAGCGACTCTAGCCCTTCCCGCTCTGACGACAGCGCCCAAATCTCCTCCGTGAGCTCTTTGGCTGTACAGAAGTGACTTCCTGCAGTACAGGGTAGGAGACAGAAGAAAAGGAGGTTATGTGTGTGAATTGCAACAGTATTCATATTCTTGAAAGATTCATATAGTTATGCAATGCATATTGACCATATCTGTCCATGACCACCTCCCTCCACCTCCTTCTAGTGCCTACACCCTGTCTCCTTCCAACTTCTTGTCTCTTTGTTGTCGTTATTAACAACCCCCCCATTAATGCAGCCCATATGCACATGGGTGTGGAGGTCATCCACCAAGGCATGAGCAACCTACGAGAACCCATGACCCCAAAGGCAAATGATTCCCCCTCCTTCAGCAGCCTTCATCTATCAGTGGTTCCTCCAATGCGGGTGGGGTCCTTTTGGTTTCTCCCCCATTCATGCTGGATTTGTATATGAATAGTGAGATCCTTGAGTATTAATTTTGGGGACAACAGTATCCTGATGCAATATCAAAAGATTAGGGTCAACTGAAAGGGATGCCACTGGAAATTCAGGGCCTCTGAAAATGACCCAGAGATGTCCAGCAGGATCGAGGAAAGCCCAGGTATCACTCTACTCAATGCCAAAGTCCAAGGACTGACACAGTACAGCAGGGTAGACAGATGCTGGCCTTGCAGTTAGACTTCAGCTAAATTAAGCTCCTACCCCTTATCAAAACACACAGCGTATGCAATGACTGCTCTTAGCACAGCTAGGAAGGTGACCCTCAATTGAGGAATTTACTCCATCAAATGGGCCTGTAGGTGTGTCTGTGGACATTTTCTTGATTGCTAATTGATGTAAGTGGACCCAACCAACAGTGGGTGAGGCTCTCCCTAGACAGGGTGTACTGGGTTCTTTGAAGAAAGGTAGCCGAACAGGATCCTGAAAGCAAGCCACGAAACATTACTCCTCTGTAGTCTCTGCTTCAATCCCTGCCTCCAGATCCCTGCTTGAATTCCAGCCCTGGCTTCCTTAAGAAATGGACTGTGACCTATAAGCCAAATAAATCCTTTCCTCCCCAAGTTCTTTTGATCAGTGTTTTTATCATAGCTACAGAGACCCTCATGGAAAAAATAACATAAAAAATAAATGAGCACATTTGGCATAAATGTGTTATGAAATATGATCGTAATGACACCTGAATTGCAGGTGGCCGCAGGAACCACAGGTGGCTGGGTGCATGAGAAAGAAAAGTCATAAAGTAGCAAATAAAATAGATGGTGAGCAGAGTGCAGCAAGGAGCGAGGTCAGGTACAAGAATCAGCGGTGGGTCTAACAGCAGCAGGCCACTGTGAGACAATTTCTCTGAAATACAGTTCACAGCATATTTTAGGACTAAAAGTATGTAGGGAGGAATTTAAAGCATCCTATGCAGATGTGGAAACTGCTTCTGAAAACCTACTGAGAGGAAATAAGACTTAAATAATTGTGGAGATAAACTATAAGCGTCCACTGGAAAACTTGCTACTCCTAGGGTTTCAATTTGCCCCAGATTGATGCATAGATTTAATACAATTCCTATCAAAATTTCATGAGGCCCTTTGGTAGAAATGAATGGGCACATCCTAAAATGTAAAAGAAAATACAAAGGTCTAGATAAGCCAGAGCAATCAAAAAGTCTACATTTTAAGACCCCAGCTATCACTACCATAAATCAGGACTGCGTGCATCTAGAGCAGATAGCCATGCTGACTGATGGATTACAATAGAAAGCCAAAGAGGGTGAGTCGTCCAAGAGCCGACTGAGTGCAAAGCAAGTCAACAAGGGAAAGAAAATCATCCCAACAGATGCTGCCAAAACAACCGGTTACTCACGTGGGGTCAATGGGAACCCTGATGTATACCTCAAACCACACACAAATTACATCAGGGGTAAAACATGGGACTCAGACAAAGTTCAAACGATGAAGCTACAACTAGAGAGTAAGAAGGAGCAAGGTGCCAGCTTTGGACCAGGCAGAGCTTTGTAGAGGACACAGACCACAACAATCTAAGAAAAACCCTGGGATAAGCTTTCAGCACATAAAAGAAGCTGGGCAGGGAAGCTGGGTGTGGTGGACCTGATACTCAAGTACTTGGGAGGTGGAGGCAGGAGGATCAGGAATTCAAAGCCAGATTTAGCTATACAGCAAGTTTTCAGTCAGTCTAAACTACATAAAAATGTCAAAATCAAAGAAATGTAAAAATAAAAGGGGGAAGAAATCGGGAGGGGTGGGTAAGGGATAGCAAAGGAGAGGAGAGGGAAGGGGAGAGGGGAGGGGAGAGGGAATGGGGAGAGGAAGGGAGGGGAGGTCAAGTCAAACTGGGACAGATCATTTGCTACAGATAGCTGACAAAGGATTCAATTTTACATATCAACAATAAACACAAATGACACACTGAACATGAACAAAGATTCACCAGACCTATTACAAAGGGCCATACGCAGATGGCCTACACACATGTGAAAACATGTTGGATAATATTAGTCACCAGGAGTGTAAATAAAGGCTGTAGAGTCCACTTCAACCCATTCAAATGGCGCAAAACACTAAACCAAAAATGGTCAATATTGGAGTGTGTGTGTGTGTGTGTGTGTGTGTGTGTGTGTGTGTGTGTGTAATTTCCTGAACTCCCAAACATGCAGAGGTGCAATCCCACTGAGAACAAGTCTGCCAATTTGTCCTAAAGTTAAACATATCCCTATACTTAGTTCAAGTCTCCACACAGAGGTGTCCACAGAGGACTGAAGGTGCCAAACCAGAACACTCACATTTGACAGCTCCTAATGGCTTTACTCTGGAGCCTCTGGCAAGGTGCCCATGCTCCTGCAAGTGATCCTAATGAAACTCACTGATTCACCAAAAAAGAAAGGAGGGAGGGAGGAAGAGAGGGAGGGAGCGAGGGAGGGAGGGAGGGAGAGAAACATGGGTCAGTGGTTAAGAGCACTAGCTGTTCTTGCACAGGACCTGGGTTCAAGTTACAGCACCCACATGATGACTCACAAACATCTGTAACTTCAGTTACAGGGGATCTGGCACCCTCTTCTGGCCTTTGCAGGTAAGCACACATGTGGCTCATGGACATACACACAGGCCAAACACATATACATTTGAAATAATAATAAATAATAATAACAACAACAATACAGGAAATGAAGGTGGAAGGGGACTCTTTGGAATGAGGCTGATCAGCAGGAATGGGTGGTGGCATGAGAGGGCATGGAGATAAGCATGATCAAATGCATGATATATATGTTTGAAAATGTCATGACGAAACCCACTGTTGTGCATAATATATGCTAATAAAAAACCTTTCTTCAGGAGGCAGAGGCAGAAAGATCTCTGTGAGTGCCAGGACAGCCTCCAAAGCAATACAGAGAAACTGGGTCTCAAAAAACCAAAAAAAAAAAAAAAAAAAAAAAAAGAAAGAAAGAAAGAAAGAAAGAAACTTTTCTAAGAAGAAAGTCACAGGATCAGCCTCTCTTCACACTCACTCTTCAGGAGGAAGACTATACCCCATTCTATCCACTCAAAGATGCATCAGATTTTGACAGGAACATCTGGAATAGAAGGAGTCATCCAGCGGCCACATCCAGGAGAACGTGAAGAATCCGTTGTTCTCTGTGGCTGAATGTGGTCACCAGTGATGCCTGGTGTTCTAAGACCCAATCCTTGTAAGGTCAGTTGACTTCAGGCTTTTGTGAAATCAGAAAGAACTTGCATTTAAAACTACATCACTGTGGGTGTCAGTGAGGAGGCCTAGGTAATCTGTTGAGCCTTGGGTAGTAGAACAGTATTTATCCTGGCTATACAAATGGACTTTGGACTCCCATCCAACAATGAGAGATGCACTCTCACCCTGAACTCTTGGGGGAGGGTCTAGGCCCTGCCCTGGATGAAATGACAGACTATAGACACCCCCATGGAGGGCCTCACCCTCCCTGGGGAAATGAGGGAATATTGGGGGGGGGTTGGTGGGAGGGCACTGGAGGAGGGGAGGGAAACGGAGAGGGACCTGGAATTGACATGTGAAGCAACCTTGTTTTTAATTTAAATTTAAATTTAAAAAATATATTAAAAATAAAAAAGAGAAAAATAATAATAAAAGAATAAAACTACATCACCACCCCCACCCCAAGACTCAAGGACCATGTGGCAAGAGAGGGAAGAAAGAAGGAGCAGGACTGTGAGACACTGTCTTCTGGACATGGTCATTGCATTCAGGATCTCACAGCAGCTGTAGTTTCCTGCACAAGACCTGTACTAGATCAAGCCAGTAGCATTCCTGCATGGATGGGGAGGAGCTCATGGACCCATCCCTAGCTGAGAAGCTCTTGGATGGTAACAGCTGCTGGAGAAAGGGAACCATTTTTGCAGGTGTCACCACTGGTTAAGTTATTGACATGCCAGTAGCCCTAAAGCCAAGCTACTCTAATTAAACTCAGTGGGTCTTAAAAAAAAGGCAAGAAAGTCAGAGGGTAACTTGTTGAGAAGGAGGAAGGGCAAAGAAGGAGTGGAAGGGAATACAGGGATAGTGGAGGAGTGACGGTGATCAGAGTATATTATGTGTATGTATGAGATTGTCAAAAAACAAAAACATGCAACCTGGCAGAAAATCCTACAGAAGACAGCTCAGAAACTGGGGAGATGGCTCAGAGAGTAAAGCCCTTGCTGTCTAAGCATAAGGGCTTGAGTTCAACCCCTCACATCCAAGTAAAATGCTGGGTCTGGTAGAACGTCTGTAATCCCAGAACTGCAGAGGTGGGGACAGGAGACTCCCTATGGCTCACTGACCAGCCAGCCTAGCCTAGCTGTGGATCCCTAGGACCTGGTGAAAGACTTTGTCTCAAAAGTACATGAATAATAATAATAATAATAGTAACTAGTAGCAATGATAATGGTATGTATGGTTCCTAAGCAACATCTGAGATTGATCTCTAGCCCCCACAAGCACACATGTGAGCATGTGCACACATATGCACACCACAAACACAAAACCAGAAAACCTTACAGAAGTTACCACTTGTTCTTGGAGGAAAACTTTGCAGCCAACAGCTCTGATTGTTGTGGAATAGTACGTTAACTAGGCAAAGATGTGTTACATTTGTTTGTGAAGCAGAATATTACTTTAACTGTGTAAAGGTGTGTTACATTTGTTTATGCTGCTTTTGTTTAATGATGTAAGGATGTGTGTTTGATTATGTAACCATGTGCTGCATTGGTTTCACCTTGCAGCATCTGACTGGTCTAATAAAAAGCTGAATGGCCAATAGCAAGGCAGGAAAAAGAATAGGCAGGGCTGGTGGACAGAGAGGATGAATAGGAAAGAAAAGAATGAGAGAAAAGGAAGGAGAAGAGAATGAGCGAGAAAGAGAGGGACACTGCCAACCAGACATGAGAAACAGTGAAAGTAAGATATACAGAAGGAAAGAAAAGTAAAAAGCCCCAAGGTGAAAGGAAGATAAAGAGAAACTAGTTCATTTAGGTTAGAGGAGCTAGCCAGAAAAGAGCCTAAGCCTAAGCATTCATAACTAATAAGAAGTCTCTGTGTCGTGATTTGGGAGCTGGGTGGTGGCCCAAAAGAGAAATCTTGGCTCATCTGATGACTCAGGAGGATGGAGGCCAAGTAAAAACATCTACCTCAGAGCTTGACACCCAAAGATGTCCAGGAAGCCTTTAATGATGAAGATGAAGGCAGCTGAGTAAAACCTTAACCAATTCATTGTCCTTTTAAAGGACTGTATACAATCTTCTCCAAGCCTAAATTTATCTGAAAGGACTCTTTTAATGCATACCATGAAAATGCTAAGGCAGCATGGGATCATTGTGCAGCTTCTTATGTTCTCTGAATACACATTGTTTTCTTGGCTTCACAGCTGAGAAAACTGAAATCTAGAGAATTCCATATCTTGCTGATGGCTGCACAGGAATAAGCCACCAGGCAGGCTTCCAGCCCAGGCAAGAGGCTGATTTCAAACCTCTCTAAATGCTGCAGATATCCGCTCACCACAGGCACAGTTTGAACACATGGCATGCGTCATTCTGTCAATGAAGCCCACGGTTTCTGATCTCATGAAGGCAACACAAGAGAAAACTAAGCAGTGTCCCAGCCCTCTGAGAAGTGACCATTAAGATACAGGGGACAAAGTGTCCCACAATGAGCGGGTAAAACAAGGGGGGGGGGATGGATGGTAAAGTCTGTACAGCGCTTGCCTTACATGTATGAGGACATGAGGTTGATCCCTAGAACTCGTGTTTAAAAAAAAAAGGTGACACTTCCTCCTATGAAGATTCCTAAAGAAAAGACCTCTGCAAGAACCTAGAGGGGTGACTTATCCTGGAAGTATGTCCTAGACCCCTGAAGTCATCAATGCTTTAATGCTGAGCCTTTAACAAAACTCCACAGTGGCCATTTATTAAACCCAGATCATTCCTTGACCCAAATACCTGGAGACATGTGTGGTGGGAGAAATGAATGTTTAACATGGAGAGACTTCAGATGGCATCCCAGAGAGGCAGGAATATCACAGTTGGAGCCATGGAACACTGCTATCCCGCCCCACATAGCATTGTGCTCCCATTTGAACTCACAGCCAAGCCCCTGACAAGACTTGCTCTGTACAGCCCTAGGTGTTCCTGACTCACCCCCACCCCAGACTTCCTGATCACCCAGGAATGGTGCTGATGATCCCCTGGGTCTCTGCCTGAAGAACCACAACCCAGGGGAGTGACTTCTCCATTCCAAGTGCCCATGGGAGAGTGCCAAACTTGTACTTGACTCTTCTCATTTCATGTCAGAACTCATACACAAACCATCCCTCAATGAAGGATGCTCATATAGGACATGAAATGCCTCTGACCTCATTTCCATCCCTATTGCTATGCTTGAGCCTTCCGCTGAAATATCCTAGGCTGTGGGTTTAGAGCAAAGACTCAGCAGTTAATAACATGGGCTATTCATCCAAAAGACCTGAGTTCAACTCCCAGCACACACATGCAGAGGATCTGATATCTGGCCTCCATGAGCACTATATTCATATTCACCGATATACACAGACACACATTCACACAAGTTTGTTCACACACACACATACACACACACACACACACACACACACACACACACACACACACACGCACGCGCGCGCGCACACATGCACATGTGCACGCATGCATGCTGCCCAGGCCAGCTCTTCCTAAACACCAGAGCAATGGGCAGGCAGCACAGACTGGAAGGGGTCATCAGCAGTATGAAATGGCCTCCTGTATGAGGGACCTGGTCCTGGATAAACAGGTAGACACGAGGCTATACATTCCCCAGGCAAGACTTCCTCAAGAAAGGTGCTCTGTAAGCAGCCAGATGCCCTTCAAATTCCCAGTGGGGAGAGCTGCCAACAATCCCAGATTGCACCCCAGCTTGGCTCCAGGCTCTCGGAACAGGCCACAGGAACAACTGAGCAAGGAAGCTCCTCAGCCTTAGGGACTCCAGGCAGCAGCAGATGGGCCACAGCATCATGAGTCAGGCTCTGGACAGGGGTTGAAACATCCTAGCCAACGAAGCTTCCCCAGTTTCCTCAGCCAGTCAAAGAGCTAAAACTAAAAGCCCCATGCCAGTCTGCAGTATGCCATCTTCAGAATCTCTGGCTGCACACATGTGTACATACCCACACACAGACACACACGGAGACACACATAAGTAAACTATACCCACGCACAGACACACATGTAGGCACATGGAAATAAATTGTCTTTTTCTGAAAAGTTTGAAGAATCTTCCTTGGGCTTCTGAAGACAGGCTGTTGATGACTGAATGAGGGAATTCTGCCTCTTGTGTCACACTCGCTTCTTCCCAGAGGCTCACCCACCTGTTCTGGGGCAGAGGGGAGGGGGCAGGGAATGTATCGACTAAGAAAGGCAAAACCCTAATTCGGAGACAAGACTCATTCCATCTTCTTTTGTTCCCTCCCTGCAAATGAGGCCATAACTCCAACTAAGTGGCACGGAAGGCAGTTACGAGGCAGGTCGCACGCTCACCCACCATGTTCTAGGGTTGTAAATGCCACGCTTGGCTGCATCGGGGACCAAGTGGCTCGTTAGCTGCAGCATTAGTGTTTAACGACGTGAGGAACAGAAGCTGCCAGGCACCACGCTCCTTCTTAAAACACCATTGAAAACCCATATGTGTAATTATTACACCTTCCTGTTTAATTCTGATTCCCCTGAAGCCAATGGACTGAACATTCATCCAGCCTGTAAATCTCACAGATCTCTTCAAGGCTATCATTTACATAACTGAGCTAAAGATCCATCCATCACACCCAGGAGAGTCTGGACCCCAGCCACTGGTCTGCCACTGCTAGGCTAAATTCATGAACCTGCTAAAAGGATATACCCTCAGCCTTGATCACCCCACCTCTCCACTGGGCTCTTAGTCGCCTTCCCACTTGCCTAACACTGCTATTACAAATGTTAAGTCAAACAGCAAATGCTGGTGTGTGTGTGTGTGTGTGTGTGTGTGTAAGGGAGTGTTTGAAAATAGCAATCAAATGACACAGCAAGATACTATACACTTATCTTCTCAAGCTATGTTCATAGGCAGAAATCTCTCCATGAAGAGCAGCTGGCATGAAGAGGGTGTGATCCGAGACACCACCATGTTCCAAGTCCAGCTTTCTCGTGTGTGTGTGTGTGTGTGTGTGTGTGTGTGTGTGTGTGTGTGTGTGTGTGTGTTGCTAGGCATTGACCTTGAGCTTGGTACTTTGCATATGCTAAGTAAGTGCTCTACCATCCTTCTCCATTTCTCTTAACTTATTTTGAGACAATCTCTCCAAATCACTCAAACTGGCTTAGAGTTCACAGTGTAGACCAGGCCCTGACCTTGCAATCCTCCTGCATCAGCCTCCCAGATAGCTGGGATGACATCCTCATGTTAATCAATGACAAAAATATGAGCACCTTGACAGTTACCTGCTATGGCCAGCATCTTGGCTTCCAGCAAGGCAGGCAGCCTGGTGTCAAGGTCACTGAGTCTCCTCCTCAGAGAGCTGCACAGCCTCTCACCTGAGCACACCTACAAGGAGAAATGGCAGGAATCAGAGTCTACTGTGACAAACCAGAAGACAGAGGGAACCTTGTCTGAGGAGTCTGGGTTTCTAAGTCACTAAGCTGATTGACAGAGAGGAAGCAGAATGTGGGGTTTAGGAAGCAATGGGATTGGAAGGAAAGCAAAGAAGGAAGAGGTAGGCATTTTGGGGAAGTCCACGGAGGATGCAACCCCCAAGAATCGTTATTTTTATTTATTGCCAAAATAAAAACATATGCAGTCCCATTCGGGAACTGGAAATAATCAGTCCACTTGGACTGAGAGCCCACAGAACACTTGGGATTCTATCTCCCCCATGCAATCTATATCTTGAGAGGTACAGCCAACTGCGATCAAACAGAAGCTACCATCAGAATCAAAGCAGACCTCACCCAATCCCAAAACATCCACCAGTTCTCTACAGGCTGCTGTGATTCATTTCCCCTCTGTGCCTGGGATTTTCCAACTTTGCTTTGTGAAATTCCCAGCACGGTCAGACGGTCTCTGAGCCAAAGCCAGCACAAACTGTTTATCCTCACATCAGTCACTCATCCTGAGGCTCTTTCAGGAGTCCTGAAACTTGTGAGGGTGTTAGAACCAAGAACTAAATGGAAGATGTCCAGGGCAGCTTCCCCTGGCCCTGTCTCAGTTGGTTCAATGCTCCATGACAGGCCCCACCCATCTCTCCACCTACAACTGTCATTTCAGGAAGTTCAAGGACTCACCAGTTAACTCTGTGACACCAACCAGAATTCTAAGGTCTCATCTAATCCATGTCTAGCATTTCTGATTTTAGTTAACAGTGTCTCTTAATCATAATTAGGTCAGTTTCTCCTTTGCTGAGAAAGCCCATCATTCAAGCTACACTATTAATATGAAACCGCCTTTCTAAATTTTCTGATTAAATTGCACTCTTTCAGTCTCTGCTGGATATAATATAATATCTAGCAATCTCTAGATATCCCAATTATTTCTAACTATTTCCATCTCATTTATCCCTTAATTACCTTTGGTTTGGGTAACCCAAGAGAGTCAAGAAATGTAATAAGTATAAAAAAGGTTGCATCTCACTCTGAAAATATCAGGAGTTGAGCATCTCCCTCTCTTTCTCCCTTCCTCCCTCCCTCCCTCCTTCCCTCCCTTTCTCTCCGTTCCCCCCTCTGGTGTGTGTGTGTGTGTGTGTGTGTGTGTGTGTGTGTGTGTGTGTGTGTGTTGAGCTGAGCCTCTTGCCTCATAGTCACTTATCAGTCAAGGTTAGACTTCCCAGGTGACGAGTCAGTTTGGTGACACAGCTTCCTATGCTCACATATGTCCAATGTAATACACATACCCACCCCAGAAAACTCTGCATGTCTTCCTTATTTACAAATAAAATTAGCCCCTAAGGAACTCATTAAAGAACGGAAGTTTTACATTTACATTTTTAAATCTAAGGCACGAGCTCCTTAATTTGATAGAAAAGCAAAGTCATTATAAGTTGACTATAAATATCTTAGAGATGGGATGTGCAATGATGTGAATGCTTGTGTCCCCCAAAAGTCTACGTGCTGAGATCTTCAGCTGCAGTATGAAGATAGGATTAGGAGGTGGGGCTCTGGGAAGCAACAGGTCCTAAGGGTAGAACCTTATGAAAGCATAGATGCCCTTAGAAAAGGGTCCCCAGGGGATGATGCTCAGTCAATAAAAGTGTTTGCTTTGTAAACAAGGGGATCTGAGCTGGATCCACAGAACCCATGTAAAAAGTTGAACATTATAGCACAAACTTATAACCCCAGAGCTGGAGAAGTGGAGACCAGAGGATCCCTACAGCTTACTAACAGCCAGTGTAGTCTAATCAGTAAGGTCCAGGCGAACGAGAGAGCCTATCAAAGAGGTAGATGGCATTCCTAAATATAACACCTATGACTGTCCTCCAGGTGTACACACACGCACACACACACACACACACACAGAGTCTCTCTCTCTAATAATAATAATGATAATGATAATGATAGTAATAATAATGGTAATATAATAATGAGACCTCAGAGAGGCCTCCTGTTCGCTCCCTCTTTCCATCATTTGAGGACACAGCATGGAACTGGCATCTGTGCCTCATAAGAGATCCCCACCAGAACCTGGCCTTGCTGGCACCTGGTCCTCAGCCCTCCAGTCCTGAGAGCTGCCCAACTTCAGTGCTTTGTGATTGAAGCACACAAAGACAGAGATTAACTTGACAAGATCTAGGACTACCTAGGAGGCCATCTCTGAACATGTTTTCAAGACTGGGTTAAGGAGTTGGGATGACACACCCTAAGTGTGGGTCTTACCATCCGATGGGCTGGGTCCTGGACTGAATACAAATGAGAAGATGAACTGAGTGCCAGCATTCATCTCTCTGCTTCCTGACTGTGGATACCATGTGACCAGCTGCCTCATACTCCTAACACCATGCCTTCCCCCACCATGATGGACTGTATCCTCAAACTGTGAGCCAGAATAAACCCTCCCTTAAGATGCTTTTGTCCAGTATTTTTGTCACACAGTGAGAAAAGTAACTAATATAGACAACAAATAATATTAGCAAAATGATCTGGAAAACTTAAAAACAATGAAAAACACTTCATCCACTAAACCATTTCCATTTCTGAGAAGCCTGAACTTGAACTCCCAGGAGAAGCAAACTACTTCCATCCTAAAACCCTTGTTTGTCCACTCATTTGTTTGTGACAATATCTTGCTATGTAGCTCAGGCTGTCCTTGAACCATTGTTCTTTCTATCTCTGCCTCTGCCTCTGAAATTCTGAGATGGCAATTATGAGCCATACAGCCAGCTCTAAAGGCCTCTTTAAATAAAGGCATTCAAGCATTCCAACAGGTCCTTTTCCAGCCTCTGGACTGAAGCCAAGGTCAGCGGTCCATTTGGAAGTGACCATGGGCGGAGACTTCCATGGAAGTAGCAGTTCCCCTACCCAGCTCTTCTTCTCTGCCACAGTCTGGGAAATGTCTCCACAGAGTCTGTTTCTTCTAAAGCCTAAGCCCTCAGTGATCTGGATATGAAATTGGGTTAGAAGAAAATGGGAGGATGGGCTTACCTGAGCAGTGATTTCTCTAACAGCCAAGTTCAGTGATTTTGTCCTTTCCTGGAGGCTAGAAGAATTAGAACAGAATGTTGGTCTTCATGACTCCAAGGTGGAGCTCTATGCATGTAAGACACTACCAATTCATCACCCAAGGAGCTGAAGAGGATTAAGAAGGTGACACCTGGCAGGGTTGACATGGCCATAGAACTAACACGTGGCTAGGAATCAAACCACCCCCCCTACACACACACTAAATATGCTTTGCTCTAGCTGCCATTAAAAATCTGTCTTCAGGGTCTGGGGAAATGACTTAGTGAGTACAGTGATTGCCACACACACATGAGGACCTGAATTACCAGACCCACATAAATAAACCAGGCACAGTGGTACCCATTTGTAGTCCAGCACTGAGAAGATGGAGACAAGAGGATCCCTGAGGTTCACAGCCACCCAACCTGGCCTACTGGGTGAGTACCAAGCCTGTCACCAAAACAGGCATAGCAGCACACTTTTAATCCCAGCACTTGGGAGGCAGAGGCAGGCATGAGTTTGAAGCCAGCCTGGTCTACATAGAGAGATCCATGCTAGCCAGGGAACACACAATCTGTCTTAATTTCCAGAGCAATGATGGAGGAGCCACCCTAGTTACCAAAAACCTTGAGGCCCATAACCAGCTTCCTAAAGGAGTGGGCCACAGTGACAGGGAACTGTTAGCATCTGAGTGGGCAAGTCAACAACTCAAGAAGTAATGCCAGTGCCTCAGTGAAAGCAGACAGACACACATATTTCATATTTCTCAAGAGTGACTGAGTTAGCCAGCGTCCCTTCTTTCGGGTGTGTCCAACCTGTGGCACACCAGGATAACTATGAGTGTTCCAACACATAATCATAAAGTCACTTAAAACACCATGAGGTATATTTGGAATTTGTTGTATGAACCTTATGATAATAATGTCTGCCATAGTTCAACGTTGGACATGCCTGTGAATCTCTTCGTATACTAGCTTATTCATATAGTCTCCCTAGACTGTAAGTTCCAGTGAGCAGCGCCCATCCGCTTGGGTTCACTCTGTCATGAGAAAAACTCAGGGAGTGGGCACACTGGGAGCAATGAGAACACCCTGTCCAGAGCCCACCATTCTGTGGACGTAAGCCTTGCTTATACTTCCAACCCCTCAGGGACAGTCAGTTATGTGACAAGTGGGGGGGCAGTGCTTGCTTGAAACAGGGTGATCTGCAAGAGGAAAAGGTCCCAGTTTCCAGAGACTATACAGGGGGTGGGGGTTCCAGAAAAATCTTCCACAGCAGGGGGAGCAAAGTGTAATTTAGAGATAAGCTGACACCAGTAGATGCGTGTTGGGGTTCTTCTCCAGCTATGAGAACCATTGAGGGATGTTATCATCTTTATCCGTTTGTGATTTCTGAAACCTAGGCAAGCTGGGGTTGAAGCTCCGAGAGACTGGAGCAGGTACTGCCAGTCTTCTCACTTGTAAACTGTACCCGATGAGTGGCTACTGGAAAGAGTGAAACCAACCAAACACAGACAGTGGGCACAGGCGAGGGGCACGGCATGTGGCCACAGCCTCTTCTGAGTCAGGAGTCACCATCTGGCAAACACGAGTGCAGAGATAGGCATGGCGGGGGAGCCTGGAGCACTGCCGACCTTGGCTAGATGGAGACAGGACATTGTAAGAAGTCTGGGTGTCAGTGTGTGTGGAAAACAAAACAAGACAGACCACTCGAGCTGCTGCGGAGAGAAGAGCAGAGCATGTGAGGCACGGCTTGGTTCCAGAGGCAGCACTGCTCTGGAGCCTGCTGTCACACTCGTAACCCTTCTTCAGCAAAAGCGTGTGTCCTTTCTCTGCCAGGCTCACCAGAGTCTATTCAAACAGCACATTTTTGTTTGCTTGCTTGTCTTGCTTTTTGACAGGGTTTCATATAGGTCACACTAGCCTTGAACTCACAATATAGCTCAGGATGACCTTGAAACCCTGACCATCATGGCCCTGTATCCTGGGTGCTGAGATTACAGGAGTGTACCGTGACACTAAGCTTTTTTGTGGTGCTAGGGGTCTAACTTATGACTTGCTGTGTACTGTGCAGGCATCCTACCAACTGAACTACATCCTCAGCGCCTCAGCTGGCACCCTCTTAATCAATGGCTCGCCACATAATAGAACCTTTTTGCATTTAACAGCACAATAGATTATGCTGTTCTATTTGTTGTGCTGTTATATTTATATATATATATATATATTTAACAACACAATATATATTCCTGAACACACTGAAAAACTAGTTCATTAGTTTATGTATTAAAGCAGATAGCAGGCTCTCTTCCTGAGTCTAAGACTGAGCTTGCCTCAAGGACAACACCTTAAGCAAATGTCCCATGACCCCAGTGAAAAGCAGATCAGGTACCACCTTTCCAAGGATGGACTCTGCTTGTTGCTCTGGGCTCTAATCTGGCCTTGCCCTAGAAGGAAAATGAGCTTCAACTCAAATATCTCTGTGAGAGGAGGAAGTAGTGATGCGGATAATTGAATGCATTGTTTTGTATCAGATTTGATTTATACTTAATTTATTTAATTTATGCTATATTACTTTTTTCAGTAGATTTATTTTCCTAATTATGTGTTGCTCAGGCTAATATTAACATTAGTTGTATCCCCAGGGGATACACAGAATGGAAGCAATGTGGGGAGAGAAGACTATGAATCATCCGTATTTTGCACTAACAGTTTTCAAACTATATTTAGCATTTCTCAGAACCCAAAGTACAATGTAGATAACAGAGGATCTGTTCTAACAGGACAGGGGTGTCTAAAGTACAGTGAGTCATGTTAACTCCACCCACATGTGATGCTGCTACCACCACACTGCAGTGCCTAGGAGCAAGAGTTGTTAGTATTAAGACTTCTGTACTGGTATGTCCCTGGTGTTCTTAGTGGCTGCAGCTGAGGGTGTATCCTGTCAGAACCCCAAGGACAGGACAGTACAGATGCCTGAATACTAATAGGAATACCCATTGAAAATACATTATACCAGCTAAATATTGATAAGGGTTTCATGTATGTTGATAATAAAGCTTGTTGCTGTTTCACTATGATTACATATTGTTCATGACAAATAAAAAACATCCATTCATTTCTGGGTATGGTGATTCATGCCTGTTATCCCAGCACCAGGAAGGTGGAGGAAGGATTAGCAGGAGTTCAAGGTCATCCTAAGCTTGGCAACATCCTTGGGTTCAAGGTCATCCTTGGCTATATAGCACATTGGGCTACGTGAGATCTTGTCTCAATAAACAAAGAAACCATGAACTACCCCTTCATATCAAAGGATACTGCACTTGGATTCAGAAGTCGCCTACCCAGATGACTCTGTTTACAGAAAGTAACCTCTTCATTCACAAGAGATTATTTCCTAGAAATAATCACAACTGTCCTAGAAATAACAGTCAACAGCTGGGGAGATGTCTTGGCTGGTAGAGTGCTTGGCACACAAGCATGAAAACCTGAATTTCACACACAGAACCAGGTATTTACAAAAGCCATGGGGTTGGAAAGATGATTCAGCAGTTAAGAACATTGTTCGCTCTTCCAGAAGACCCAGGTTCAACTCCCAGCATCCACATGGTAACTCACAGCTGCCAGTAACTCCAGATTCAGGGTATCCGATGCCTTCTTCTTGGCCCTCTGCACACTGTTTGTATGTTGTGCATAAACATACATGAAGGCAAAACACCCATATACATAAAGTAAAATAAAAATACTTTTTAAAGTTAGGTGTGGTGGTATGTGCTTCAGGTTTAGTGAGAGAACTGGGCTCCAAAAACAAGGTGGATGGCTACTGTGGAAAACACCTGAGATTGGCCTCTGTCCTCCACATGCACGTGGGCATGCACACACACAATGGTGCACACTTGAAGAAGGATGAGGGGGGAGAGAGGGGGAAGAGAGGGGGCGGGGAGAGGAGGGGGACAGAGGAACTTCCTGTGAGGATTCAAGGCAGACGCCCTCAGGATACAAGGCAGACTTCTCGATCCTGGACTCTATCCTCCATTCCAGAACAGTGAGCAGCTGTCAATCCTTCCCATCTCTGCTGCTATGAAAGCCCGAGTGAACTCACACACACGGGATCCTCCCTGTCTCCACTAAGATTAACCCTATGTTATTCACTGGTTTGCCAGGGAAGGAAAAGCAAGGAAGAGAGGAAGAGGGAGGGAGGGAGGAAGGGTGAAGAAAGGGAGGGTAGGGAGAGTTGTTTTTCCATGCAGTGGTCCTACTGTCACCCCAGCAAACAGCTTTATTCCCAGACTGGCCTGTGTGAAAGTCTGACTTTTCTGTAAAGCTAGGGGATAGAATGCCCTCATCCCGTCTTCTCTGTGTCCTTTCTCTCCCATGCCCCAATTCCACAACCCGACTTGTTTAGCAAAATTTACTTTAAGAATGACAGACTATTCCCAAAGCAAACGAGAAATGACAGAAAGGGCACAGTGACAGCTACGCCAAGCATGGAGGCCACTTTGGGTCTTCAACTGAACAGAAAATGGGACTCTGTTGACATTAACAACCTTGCCAATTACTGCTTAGTCCTTCGGCCTTCCACAGAGGACAAGTGGGTCAGAAAGTGACAAGGGAGACTGCTGTAGAAAGTGAGGATTTATCCACTTGGCCTTTTCCCTCCTGGAACCCTTATGTCCTCTCCTCACTGCTGATAATGTCACACGTCACCAGTAGGACGGCTGTGGGGCACAGATGACAAAAGAGCCTTAAATTTCTCTAGACTTGGGATAGCTCACTGAGGCAAGACAGGATGCAAAAAAGCACCAGTACTGTTCCCTACAATCTTGTCAGGGGCTGGTTAGCTGAGCCTGTGATGCTGGGACCGGTAGTGCGGTGCAGTGGAGAGAGATGCATGCCAAGAGGCAGGTGTCCAGTGCCAGCTTTGGTGAGCATGCCGCTCTTTCCACTTGGGTGACAGGGCTGACAATAAGGCAGAGGACATGCACATCTGTGCTCCCAGAGGCGGATAAAGCTTTCTACAGACACGTCATCCAGACAC